TTCAAAAAATAGAGTTTTTAAAATTGTTTGGTTATGAATTTTTGAAAAAAGTTTTCAAAATTTTGTTTAGTTAGAAGTTTTGAAAAACAAATTGAGTTTCAAATTGTGATTTGAAAATTAACCAAATGCTACCATTTTATTTTATTTTTTTGAAAAATGATTCGTAGCTCGAAAATGTTTTGGCTCGAATGGCCCAACTGCTCAAAATGACGTTGTTTTTTCTTTTTTGGGCAGTTTTTTTTTTTTCGTTTATATCTGAAACAGAGGGTATCTGAAATAGAGGGCAAGAGAGAGAGAGGGAGGGAGAAAGAGAGATGAAGAGAGAAGAGAGAGGGAAACAGAGGGAGAGAGAGAGAGAGGGGAAACCGAGTACAAAGCCGGCCACAACTTTCTCACATCAACAACACTACAAATTATCTATCTCCATTATCATCTTTTGTTCTTGTGTTATTGATTTTGATTTGGGTTTTTCTTTCTATTGATTAAGCTTATTGGATTTAGATTTATTTATATATAAAATTATATAAATATATATAGATCTCTCTCGTATATATATAGAGATATAGATATGTATGTGTATAGGTGATGATCTGGTGTTGATGATGATAATGATTTGGCTCATTTTTTATGTTGATGATGATGATGATCTGGTTTGGTGTTGTTGATGATGATGATGATGATGTATAGACCTTTCATATATCTATATATATATATAGATATGTGTGTATAGATGATGATCTGGTGTTGATGATGATGATGATAATGATGATGATGATTTGGTTTTGATTCTCTCTTTCCTCTTCTTTCTTTCTTTCTTCTTTCTTCTTTGTTTGTTGAAGAAGAGAAGACACAGATCAGAACAGAGAAAGAAAAAAAAAAAAAATCAAAACGACGTCGTTTTGATTTTCGGGCCAGTCGAGCCACGCCAATTTCGAGCTACGTAGCAGGACTTTTTTTTTTTTTTTCCAATTAGATGAGAAATCACAATAATTTCTTTTATTTTTTCACCCTCCATTTCAACCGGAGTGTAAGATTATTAGAATTAAAGAATTTTTTTTTTTTTTGGTTGAATCATGTATATAGTGTAAAGGGTAAATTACACCTATACCCCTTGAGATTTGAGTTTAATATATATCACTCCTAACGTTTGAAAAATTATACTGAGCCCCTGCCAGTGTAATTATTTAGATGGAATTAACGTTGGTATCAAAAGACATTTTTGCCCCTAAACCTTTATTTGCAAAAATTAATAAAATAACCTAGATATTTTGTTGCTAGGATTTCAGAGAAAATGACAGCTATTGTGATTGGACCATTTTCTTTATGGTATATTGGTAATTTTGTAACAACCCCGACCTCTGATTAACGTTAATTCATGATTAATTATGCCTAACAGTAATTAGGAGGGAATTAGGCTTAAATTGCATGTGCATTGCATTATTTATGTGTCTTTTTATCTGTTCAGTGTCGAAAGACCTGTTCACATTTTAGTTTCGGGTTACGAATTGAAAGCCTTATCGGCATTCGAATCAGAAATTGACTAGATTTATGTGCTAATTAGAATTTATAGAATTTTATGGTAGGTTTAATTAAAATTCGATTCGGAACAATTAAATTTGATTAAAATAATGCCCTTTGATTAGTTTTGTCAAATCACATTATAAGGCCATTTTTGACCTACTAAGCCACTTTTTCATTTTTATCTCTCCCATTTGTTTTGATGCCCAACGTGAGATAGAGAGAGGGAGAGAAGAGTTGAGCTCAACAAGGAAATTTCTTGAAGGTAGAGGAAATTGGAGAGAGTTTGGAAGATTTAGCTACCACACTTAAGAATCCAAGACTTAAGGTAGGCATTCACCCTCTTAACTGTAAAATTGATCTGCTAGTACAAGAATTCTAGTGAATTAAATGGACTCATGTGGGGATTAAGCTAAGAATTGGTGAATTGAAGCTCAATATATACATGCATGTGTAATTCATGGCATTTAAGGTTGTCTTTCTAGAGCATCCTTGCATGCATGTCATAATCCAAGCTTTATTTTAGAAATTCTTCATGTTTCATGTCATATTGTTGTAGTTGATCATGTTTTTGGGTTGAACATTGCATATGGTCATGTTTTGGAAGATTTGGATTCAAGGAATTGCATACGAGTCATGTTCTTGAATTATCTTTAAGTTTCAAGTTGAATTTTGTACATTTGGGTTGCTCTTGGGCCATGATTTCTTGAATTGATGCTTTAAACATGTTGTTTCATGAGTCATTAAGTGTTTTCCAAAGTTTTGGGCCCAGAAAATAAAGTTTGGTACATTTTGAGTTGAATTTGAGCTTGGTGATCAAATCTGGAAATTCCAGAAATTTGATCCACGCTCGAGCGTGGAACTCTACGCTTGAGCGTGCACTCTGAGTACATGCACATCCGCTCAAGTGACGGAGTTTGCGCTCGAGCATGAAATGCATATACCCATAAGTTCTTGTGTTTTACAGTCCGCTTGAGCGAGGGAATACACAGTCGAGCGGGGGCCGAGCGTCAATCGAGTGTGAAAATCATGCATCCAGCATTTTTCAAGAGTTTCCAGTCCGCTCGAGCGAGGAAATTCACGCTCGAGCGGGGATTCATTGTCTGTATGTCCGCTCGAGCGAGGAAAGCCCCGTTCGAGCGTAGACTTTATTTTCAGCAAGTTTTGAGAAATGTTTTCCAGCGCATTCTTGCATCCTCATTCCATCCTAGGCATTCCTAGGCCATGTTTTAGACTCCATAATGAGGATTAAATGTTAGAAACACACTTAGAGCAAACAACATAAGTTATATACAATTCGAACGTGTGTTTCAAGTATGTATCTGTTATGTGCCATGTAGGTCACGTGCCGCATATCGTTTAACCAATCTGCTCCGTCTGTCTGTTTCAAGGCCAACTGTGAGTAATAACTTAGTAAAGTTATGTTTAACTGTATTTATTTTCTGTGTGACAAAATGAGATCTGTTTCCTGAAATGATATGTTATGTACAATGAATGATTGTCCAATTTTCTGTTATGTATTCGTGACATCCTTAGCATCATGTGATATCTGTTGGCTGTTACCTGGTATCGGAGATTCCTTTATGGAACTTAAATTTGTTAGCACTCTGTTACCTGTACCGGAGGCCCCGTCATGAGGGCTTAGCGTGTCTCTGCTCTGTTACCCGGATCCGGAGGTTCCTTTATGGAACTGGTCATTCGTGACCCTCACGTGTCTGCATCTGTTCTGTATCTGCTCTGTTAGTGCTAATGGATGTATCATGTAAGCTTAAGCATACTTTATGATTTATGTATATGATCTGGACAAATTATGAATTTGATACAAATTGGAATTATGATTTCTGAATCTGTACGGACTCATTCATTGAAACCCCTTTACTCTGTTATTATTCACTGGGCTTTCGCTCACTGTTTATATTATATATGTAGGTGAGCTGGCGTGTGACCAGGGCCAGAGTTGACGGCCTTCGTCTCTGTTTTTGTCAGCCAACCGTTGTATCTCTCGAGGAGGTTCCGATTGAAGTCCAGTTTTATGGCTGTTTTTGTACTTATGCTGGTCTCTGTCTGTTTGTAAAGTCAGATCATGGGAATTACACTCTTGTATATGTTTTGTAAATATGGTATCTTTGACCGGCATGCTGATGTATATATATAAGTTTTGAAGTTTACTGTCTCATGTACGTTACCACAGCTCATTGGACCTTGTCTATTTTGAATTATTGCTTTCGCAGCCCCTTATTATAAGCTTATCTGTTCAGAGGCCTTTGGTAATCTACGGATTACTGGCCGGTTACGATGCCTAATCTACAGGGGCAGGTTTGGGTCGTGACAAATTTTAAATAGGATATAAGGCTACAAAAGACATTTTAAAGTCCTAGAGGGAAATTCAATCACTTTTCCTTACTTTTTGTTTATTTCATCAAGATTCTCCTAACAGGTCTAACGTCCACCTCACGGCAGGAGGGTTTGTGAAATAAGACTATTAACTGTAGGGGTATGAATGTAATTTCTAGAACGTCAAGGATGGAATGCAATCGGACCAAACCTCAAGAAGTGTCAGTGTAATTTACCCTAGTATTATAAAATTATTTATCTATATCTAATTTATCTATATATATATTATTATTAAAAGTGAACAACTCACTTGTGTCTGAATTTTGATGACTTCTCCTTATAGAACATGTCCTCATTTTCCTATTTGAAAGAAAAGTACTTGAAGTTAGGACCTCAAGTTTGATAAACAAAACTTTTACTCCTTACAAAACATATATAGTAAAAATTTTGTTTTATTTTTATTTATTTTTATCATATACGCATTGCATGCACAATCTATTAATGAATATATATATATACATATGTATATTTATGCTATTATATTAAGTGAGATTGGACTTGGTATCTAAGCATTCTTCTTATGGCATATGTTTCTATTTTTTTATATAACAAATAAATAAATAAATAAATAGGTGAGAAAGGGTGACAATTTGAACATTGGCCTTCAAATTTAAAGAAGACAACTCTTATTACTTGAATAATATATAATAAATATTGGGCTGGGACTTATCACGGGTCTCGTTTCGATAATTCGAATCATTCAGTGTATAGAACTTGTCAAGTATTATATGCTTGTAAAAAATCACATTAATCGGATATCGATAGCTATCTCATCAGATTAAATTTATATCAACCGTTTATTTTTTACCGTTCATTTTTTTTTTATACAAAACGGATTTGATTATATAATTATCGATATTCGATCAACATGATTGTTTTAGAGGCATAGAGTACTTAGTGAGTTCTACATATTAAACGGTTCATATTATCGAAACAGAACTTGTGGTAGACCCTTACGAGCCGAACAATACTTTCTAATCTGATCACGAACTAAAAAAAAGTCAACCCCTAAATATTTTATTTTATTTTTATTTATTTAAATTACGCGCATAGTTGGTACATATGTATATTAGTTGGCCGAGGGTGAGGCAGTGGTAATTTGATGACAGAAAGCAAAGGGGTGGCCGTTTCAGCTTCTAGCGGTGGCGTGTCTGTCTCTGGCAGCCAAAATCTAGGAACCATGCGTTCCAGTGATCCTAGATCTCCAGGTGTTGGAACCCGAGTTCGTCTTCGACCCCAAAACGGTTCAACGAATGGAGCTCTATGTCATGTCCAATCTCCATTGGAGGCTCCCTTCGACTTCCTCGACTACTTCATCTCCAAGCTCCCTTCTTCAGCTTCCAATTCCAATTTTCTTGGCCCCATTCTATCATCTTCTTCCGAGATCATTCTCAACACCATTCGTGGTAATTTCGAACCCAAACACTCCTTTGATTATCCTGTTCTTAATTAAATCAATTAATTTGAGTTTTTTTTTTTTTTTTTGCAGTGATTGATTTCTTGGGTTTTCCTCCGTCGGCAATTGCAGCGGCCGCCGTGCTTACCGCCGTCGGTGAAAGTGTCCATTTACCAGAAGGCGGCTTTTATGAGAGAGCAAATAAAGTAATTTTTTATGGTTTGTGCTATATGAATATAGTTAATTACATATTATTAGTTCTCAAAATATACATTTTGTTACACTTTTGTTCTAATTTTTTTAATTGTTGGATTTTGGTGTCTATATCAAAGTATGCGAGCTGTTACATTTTAATTCTTAATGTTTGTGCAGTTCAAAATTAATAACGGGAGAATGAATAATTTTTTTAAATTTTACATGAAATATCAACAAAATCAAAATGATAAAATATATACAATTTCAAACTGTGCATTTTTTTTTTTATTTTTTTTTTAATTTTTTTGTATTTTCATTCTTGATCTGCTAATTTTGTTATTTTGATTTCTTATAAAATTTAAAAAATATTGTTCCCGTTACTCATTTTGAAGAGTGTTGATGTTAGGAACTAATGTGTAGATTGTATATTTTGAAGACTAAAGTGAAACAATCAAAAGATTGATGAGTGACATACTCTTGAATCCTTTCATTAAATATTTATCAAATCAAGAGGGATTATTTTTTTCTTAAATTAAGAACTCATCAAATTTTTTTATCAAATTTAAATTTGATAAAAATTTAAAAAGATGAAGTATATGAGATGATTTTTTTTTCATAAATTTTATGAAAAATGAAATTTGAGATAAAAAAGAATTTAAAAAAAAATTATGATGAAAGAATTGCAATAATTTATATTAAATCAAGTTTTTAGTCAAATTAGATTAAAAAATTAACGAAGAGTTGAAAATATTCTAAAGCGTAACAAAAATGTATATTTTGAAACTATTTGTGTAATTAACCCATACGAGTGAAATATTGTCGCTGAAATGTAAAATCTTGATTTCATTAGGACTGGTTTGTAAATAGATTCGCGAGATATTCTAATTCAAAGCATAAAAAGCTGTGTAAAATTTCGTGGGTAATTAATTAATTTTGGGAAAATGTTTGGTAGCTCAAATTTTTGTGGTTTAAATGGCTCAAATCTGTCAAAACGACGTCATTTTACACTCAAAATCTGTCAAAACGACGTCGTTTTAACAGATTTAAGTCATTTGAGCCACAAAAATTTGAGTTACCTAGCATTGTCGTTAATTTTGTGTTGGGGACAGGAAATGGTGAGAAGCTGTCACCAACTAATGGAGGAATACCTAGTGGACACATGTCCTTCGGCTGGCTTTAAACATCAAACAGTCGAGCCGCCTTCACCGTTGAGCCCAGTCGGCGTGCTGGATGCGGCGGCGTGTGCGAGTTGCGACACTCATTCGGACAATCGGGTCTCTATTTCCGGGTTTGGGTCAAGTCAAGCCGAACCTCCGAACAAACGGCTCGATCGTCTGCGTCGGATGTACAGTAGCATTGTGAATCCTTTTTTCAACTTATATTTTGCGGAGAAAAAAAAAAAAACAAAGCCTCTTTTTGTTGTCAATCTCTTTGCCATTGATTGCATGTCATCAACGGTGGGGATCTTAGAGGCTATTTTTGTAATTTTATCTTTATTTATTGTTCTTAGTATCATAGTATGTAAATATGGAGAGTCGGATATTTGAAAATTTTTTGAAAGATTAGAAGAATGATGTGGAAGTGAAGTGAGAAAAAATTCATATGTTAATATTTATTGATTAAAGTTGTGAAATTCACATGTGATCTTAGGCCAGGGCTCTGCTTGAGTTTATTCTGCATGAGCAAACATTATTTTTTAAAACTATTTAAATTTAATTAATATACCCAATTAATTTTAATTTAGATATTTTAACATTTTTGATATGTGACTTTAAATTGAGATCCATGATGACATAAGTATTCTTGATATTTTTTGTAAATGGATATTTTACATGATGGGTTGATGGCACTTAGACCTCTTAAAAAAAAGGATAAATTATAAATATATCTTTTGAAATTTACTTAAAATATAAATTATTTTGTATAATTTTGAAAATTATATCATGCTCTTTAAAATTGTTAATTTCATAATAAATGTGTCATTTTACAAACAAATCATCAAATCAATTAACAGTTTTTAATGATATCATAAATATATTTCAGTTAATAATTTATCTAAATTTATTATTGTATAGAAGAATAGTTATGAATTTAATTTTTTAAATTAATTTTGTTAAATAAAAATTTCTTACAAGAAAGTATTTATAATTTTTTAAATTATAAGAAATTAATCATATTTTAAATAAATTTTAAGAGATGTATTTATAATTTATTTAAAAAAAAAGAAAAGAATTAAACCTAATACAATTGAGGGGAACATAGATCTTGCCCTTGCTAAACGCATGCCAAAATAGTCATGGAACAAAAGAAAGAAGAAAAAAAAATAAAACAAAATAAAAAATAAAAATCTGGGATTTGGGAAGGGAGATGGAAAGGAAAAGAGAAATGTAATCCCATTTTTGTTTGGTTATAATAAAAAATATATGGGAAAAGAAAGGGAGTGAGAAATAAATTAAGAAATAGGAGAACCCTCTAGAACATAAATTCTTTTTTATATCTGTGAGAAAAGATCGAGAAAACTGAGAGGAAATTTATCGAGGAGAGAGAATTTCATTGTTCATGGCTTCTCGCAAGAGACCATTCATGAATAGCTTCAAAAAACCACCACCGACGAGTTTTGAAGATCTAACTGCGGTAGCAAACTCTGATTTGCAGCATCATTCAGTAAACCCTTCCAATCAAGGATCATCATTTGCTTCAATTGGTAATCTTCAATCAATGAACTCGAGTGAAGATTTATTGCCTGGAATTTTCGATCAGGTATTTGTGCTCCTCTTTCATTTTCTCTTACCTTCTCATCAAACTTAGATCTTTATTGATTTCCACGAATTTGTTTATTTATGTTCAAGCTGCTTTACAATTTTGCTTCGAAGTGAAATTGCAGATCTAACTCTAGTAGCAATCTCTGATTTGCAGCATCATTTAGCAAATCGCTCCAACCGAGGATCATCATCTGCATCACTGAACTCGATTGATGGTTCATTGCCCAAAAATTTCGATTAGGTATTTGTGCCCCTCTTTTGTTTTCTCTTCTCCTCTCATCAAACTCAAATCTATATTGAAAATTCCATACATACACACACCTATATACGTTTTATTATGAATAAGAGATTATAGATACATAGATTTGTTTATCCATATTCAAGCTGCTTTGCAATTTTTGCTTTGAAGTGAAATTGCAGAAACCTTGTTTGTTTTCTAAGTAGTTTGATGATTTAATATCTTCTTTTCACTTTGCATGGGATTAAATTGGATTTACATTTTCTGTTTGTTTTATTTTATCTGTTTATATGTTTGTTTGTTATGACAATTTGCTTGTTATATTCTGTAGATGTGTGCCTATTTGGTTTATTTCACTTTCTTTTGTTTTGTGTGTTTTTTCATGATTTCAAGCTTTATAAATTAACCCTTTCATTCTCATGAAATGTTTGATTGAATGTTTATTTGAAACATGAGCTTTTGGATGGTCTGTTGTATTGGATTAAATTAGTTTTGGGTAATATGAGTATAGATTTCTTATGATCAAATTAATCATGTAAAACATTTCTAAGAGCATCCTATAATAGTTGAACAATTGATGCATTATGTCCTTAGTTTCTTCGATCTTCTCCTGCAAAAATTCCGTTGTTTTTAGCATTAATATAGTTTTGTCAATGCTTTTCTTCATTAGGAAAAATAGAAAAACTGTTTGTATCACTGTAGACGTCCCCGAACGCCCCGGGAGGGTGAGTCCCGTTCTGTTCGTTTTGGGTCACTACAGCTCGGACTCAAATTGTCACGGTTCTTAATCTGAACCAAAGAGTCCAGATCCGGCAAATCGTTTTGAGAAAACAGATTTTTAGAAAAGAAGTGCCAAACATGGACTGCTTTGCCAGATACAGAGTCGCCACCTAAATATTTTATTTTGGGAGAATTTAGGAAACCCTGACTCGGTGCCAAAGGCCACGTGTCCGTCATCACCAAAGTTGCCTCGGCTCGGGAACTTGGGTACGATTGGGGAAGGTCACTTCGTGAGCACCCCCGCTCGCCCGATCAAAGATCGGCCTCTACTAATCATGATATCTAGTTTTGAAAACATTATGCGTTCTTATTCCGGTTATTGGCTTAGATTTACTATGTGATGCGCACAGCATACAAGTATAGACTGGATCGCCTGAATTGGAACAAAACATTTCATGCTTGTTTTGAAAGTGATTTGCTACTCGCAAGTAGGCTTAAATGCAAAATTTGCCACCCTCAAGTGGGCTTAAAAAAAAAAAAATAGTTTTGCCACTATCTAGTGGGCTTACAACTCACACTTAATGAATTGTTCCAATTCAAATAACCCAACCTTCACCCACAGGCATTCAGGTAGATATATCACATAAGCAGTTAGCCTCATGGTAAGCATGCTATCATGGCAGTCACTCACACGCATGCAAGGATGCTAAAGCATAAAAACTTATCAAGTACTCCAAGCCAAAACAGAAGCTAATTAGAAATCCATGCATGATCCTATCTATACAGAAATGCCTAATGCAACACATGCAAAATGCAACTAAGATAGGCTCGACTATTCTAAAGATGGCATATGAAATGTTACAGCTAATATGTATTCAACTTGGAATTGAACTACAAATGCAGTTAGTATGATGCGTCGAGCCCGGTGCATGCAAGACAGATGAATGAATGAAAACATGCCATCATGCTGTATGCTAATTGAAACATGCCCTATTCTAACCATTATAAGTTGGTAAATAAAATGGAGAAAGACGTGGGGTTGGAAGACATACATTACACACACGCACACTTATTACAGGTGTGCCCTCGCGCAGAGGGTCCAAATAAATAATACAGTCCGAATGTCCAAATAAATAATACAGTCCAAATAAGTACAAAACCCTAATTAATTAACAAATTAATCTAGGAAAGCAGTAAATTAGCATGCAAGCTATGGACTGCCTCAGCTCTGCTCCGGATGATGAATGATGCATGCTTGAGTTGCCTTGTACGGAAATCCACTGCGATGCCCTAGTTAGCCTCTGTTTGCAATTGTTCTTGGAATGCGTGCCAAGCTCCGGAAGGCTGCTGATTCTTGATTTGCTGCAACAGAGAGCAACAAAGGGGCATGGCAAAGTATTTTCACATATGTATGCATGACTACTCTTCAGGGAGTGTAGTCCTCGATCCTCGTGTCACCAATCACGCATCTCGATGCATGATGGCCGAGGAGTCGAATTGCACGACTCAATATGAAATAAATGTACATGAAAACACAACAAGGCCTAGACTCCATCATGGATAATCCGGAGTGTCGGTGATCGAGGAATTGAGACACGTTCCGTCACTTGGAATACGAAACGCCCCTCGTTTCCCGTGCTTGGGCTAACACCTATCCCAAACACAATGCAATATGCATGACATGCATGAATGCAATTCTAACATGCAACCTAGCGTACACAATGCTATGAAATGGCATACACAATGCGCGATGTAACATGGCATACACGATGCTCTTACATACAACCTAACATACGCGATGTTATAAATTGAAATGGCATACATAATGCACAATGGACTTACAACAATATGAGTGGACCTCGGCCACACTCAAATCGGCGGCCATTAGGTGAAAATGGGACTATCGAAATGCGTGCACACATGCACGCAAATCGAGGACCGATCCTAGGCATAACATGCAACTTTAACAAGACATGGCAAGGGATGCAAGATGACATACAAACTCACAAGTTCCAGCACTGAAATATGATGCTAAACAGCCCCGAAACATGAAAAAATGGCACCCGATGCATGAGATGAACCCCGAAACCCGAAACTAGGCACATTGAATGACTTGTAGCTATACAAAGCATGCATTATTTGATCATGAAGTATAAAGACAGAGCCAAGGCAGTCCCAAAACATGCATATTTCCAGTTCAAAGCATGGCCAAAAGCTGCTAGCAAGATGGACTAAAATAGCATGCAACTTTGACTAGCAAACAAGGTTTACATGGCAAGTATATGAAGCAAATGTAATCTCACCAAATGTAATAACCCTCACCATTGCTTACCGATAAACATTGATTACCGTCAAACTGAACTGATTATGACTGATAAGTGAACTGATTAAAATACTGAACTGACTGACTGAAATCTAGAACTGAATTGACTGAGTATATCTGTTTAATTGTGCATTTATCTGTTTGATTGTTTGATTATCTGTTCACGTTTTTATGCTTTTAATTGTTAATTGAAGGCCCTATCGGCGGCCGAATCCAGAATTGATTGATGTTCTATGATCCTTAGAATTAATGTGATTTTATGGTGTATTTATCTGAAAACTGATTAGGTATGATGTCCTCTTTAAAATGTCTTAAACTAGGTCTAAGAATGCCTAGAATGGGATGAGGATGCAAAGATGTACTTTTAAAAGCATTTTCAGATTTTTCAGAAAACAGGGGTCACGCTCGAGCATAGGTCACTCCGCTCGAGCGGACATACAGACAAAGGTACCCGCTCGAGCGGCAAATCCCCCGCTCGAGCGTACTGCAAAAGTACTGGATGGGTGAAATCTCTGCTCGACGCCCGCTCGAGCTTGAGACACACGACTCC